ATTTGATGTGTGTATTTTCTTTAATTTATGTAATTCAGGGCTCATCTGTAAAAAAGATCTTGGTCTCAATATGACTCCCTGATAAAATAAAGGTTAAATAAACATTTTTGTTCTGTGTACCTCAATTACTTCGCACACCTGCACATAAACTCGGTACTGGTGCCCCCTGTATAGAGCCAAGTTACCGTTACTCGTGCATTTATTCCTCATGTTAATTATTTCTCTCTGCATTGTTGGGAAGGGCCTGTAAGTAAACATTTCACTGTTAGTCTACACCTGTTGTTTATGAAGCAGTGACAAATACATTTATATTTGCTCTTCTGGCAATTGTAGGCCTACTGCATGCATCGCTCAATGACCAGCCATTTGAGTAATGATAAATGCAGTGTTGCACACATCATGGCACAAACACAATTAAATAAACCACACAAACAGCAATATGAAATAAGAGAAATATTACATCAATATACTTTTTATTGAATCATTTTCTTTAAAGATTAAATAGGGTGTTTCGAGTGTTGTTGATATCATACAATATCCTCAGGTTTAGTCATTTGTAAAAAACATTGAGGTGTGTATAAAATAGGTCACCACCAAAGTAAAGGCAAGGGTCAGTCCACACACCACCTCGAACATATACATAGAAATGTATGCATTTCACACATACATACACATTTACATATCAAACACACTTTAAAAGTGATGGTTATTTGTTCAACTTATGGTCGTAATTGGGGTCTCGTTTTTGTTCTCGCATTATCATGAAAACTCTTAAGAAAAGTTCCATGTAAAATAGCTAAATAATGTCAGCAAACAACAGTCTTTCACAGAAAGACTAGAGAAAGGCAACAAATTAACTCAAATCTACCCTGCCCTTTACACACAAGGAAAAGAGCAGCTACACTCATCCCTTGATACACAAAAAAAAAAGTATAAGAACCAACTGACAAAACGATTGTGCCTCTAGAGGTAATCAACTCCAACCCCTACGCACTTGTCCAGGGCCCGGTTTCCCGATAGCAATGGAACTTAATGTTTTAACGATGCAGCTTTCCTACAACGGCCGAAGATGTAACATGAGTTTCCCAAAACACCAAGCAGAGAGAACGTTCGCTAAGTGCGTCGTTGAGGCATGTGTTGACACGGATAGGATCGAAATAAAAGACTGTTCTGCTCTCGGATCCGCATTCTCCCTTTCAAATCTTACCGTAACATTCAAATTATTCCACAATACTGACAATGGATGAGCTCCTATTAGAGATCACCTATGGCTACAAACATCGAGGCAGATTATTTTCATGCTTACCCAATAATAATACACTAAATCAAGATTTGAAAAAATGGGCCTCCTGAGCGGCGCAGTGGTCTAAGGCACTGCATCGCAGTGCTTGAGGAGTCACTACAGACCCGGGTTCGATCCCAGGCTGTGTCACAGCCGGACGTGACCGGGAGACCCATGAGGCGGCGCACAATTGGCCCAGCGTCGTCCGGGTTAGGGGAGGGTTTGACTGGCCGGGATTTCCTTGTCCCATCGCGCTCTAGCGACTCCTTGTGGCGGGCCGGACGCCGGCAAGCTGACTTCGGTCACCAGTTGTACGGTGTTTCCTCCGACACATTGGTGCGGCTGTCTTCCGGGTTAAGCGAGCAGTGCGGCATGGCAGGGTCGTGTTTCGGAGGACGCATGGCTCTCGACCTTCGCCTCTCCTGAGTCCGTAGGGGAGTTGCAGCGATGGGACAAGACTAACTACCAATTGGGGAGAAAAAGGGGTAAAAGTACAATAATAATAAAATAATTTAAAAAATGATATCATTGCGCAAATGTAGGCTACACATTAAATATATTCAGGCAAAATTTTGACAGTGTACAAATAGCTAAATAACAAAACTCAATTGACAAGAAATGTATTTCAATATCATTTAAATATATAGGTAGGTCTATATGTATCCTATACTGTATTCATCTTTTAATACAGTCATCTCTGTTTTCATTTGAAGCATCTTATATCCTTTGCTTGTTTGTAACAATTGCAAAGACATTGGCAACTTTGTATTTGTAGTCGCATTAGTTCTGAAGTTATCAGTGGTCACAGAAAGACAAACATCTTGATTTTGTGTTTAGCGGAGATCTGTGTATAAAAACAATTGAAGCGGAAGGGCAAAAAAAGCATTTAACAACGCGCTTAGCTGTTCTAGTGGTCTGAGGCAGTCGTTAAATAACTACCCTTTTCTTGTGCAACTTTAGTAACAATGGTATTGGGAAACAGGTCGGACATTTAATGATGCTCCTACGACGGTTCTAACAATGAACCAAGCCTTAACATGCTTTTGGGAAACCGGGCCCAGACCTGTTACTATTGGGAATGTCTTAGGCCACGTGGAGTTGTTGCCCTTTTGCTATCAGAGGGTGAAGGGAATCCCTGGACAACCACTGCCATGAATGGACCACAAACTGGGGGAAGAACCAGAAGACACTGCGTTCCACATGGGACTGGCGTTGAATGCCCCTGCCTTAGACCATAGCTAAGGGTGATAGTGAGAGGGGGGGGGGAAATAAATAAAGCTAATAGTAATAATAACAACAACAAGTGTACGTTTTCCAAATTAGTCAGAATCTAAATAAAATAAGCATTCTCCATGATTATTCAGAGCAGAACATCTATGTGGCATTTAGTATCTACAGTCATCACTCCTTTACATCAGTCAAAAAAAAGGAAAGTGATCACCGCTATCTGATTGGTTGTACTCATCCACAGCTTCTTCTCACCTCACGTCTGATTAGATAGTTTTTCATCGCTACGGCTCTTATTGGCTGCCATGGCACAGGGTGGTCCCGTACCAGTCAATGAGCATGTCCTCTCTAAGTTTCTTAGAAAAGTGTAAGTATTCTCCTGTTCGTTCCATCCTTCAGAACTTATTGTCATTTATATCCCCCCACCCCCCACCCTCTCTTTTTTATATTGCCGTCCGTTTTGGAGAGAGAAGGGAAGGGGAACAGTAAGGAGAGTGTCCCGAATGTCCATGCAAGGAAACTGTCGATGCCAGCAGGCAACTTTCCTCAGGGAAAAAAAAACAGAGTCCAATCCATGGGGTGTATGCGAATGTTGAAAATTGTAATAAAACTTTACACTTTCATTTGAGTTTCTCAGAAGTGGACCTCCCAGCTTGCTACAACATCACTGGTTAATCATCAAAATATACAGTGCATTCGAAAAGTATTCAGACCCCTTGACCTTTTCCACATTTTGTTACGTTACAGCCTTTTTCTAAAATGTATTAAATCATTTTTTTTTTCATCAATCTACACACAATAGCCTATAATGACAAAATGAAAACAGAGTTTTAGAAATTTTAGCAAAATGTATATATATATATATATATATATATATATATATATAAATAAAAAACAGAAATACCTTATTTACTTAAGTATTCAGACCTTTCGCTATGAGATTCGAAATTGAGCTCAGGTGCATCCTGTTTCCATTGATCATCCTTGAGATGTTTCTACAACTTGGAGTCAACCTGTGGTAAATTCAGTTGATTGGACATGATTTGGAAAGGCACACACCTGTCTATATAAGGTCCCACAGTTGACAGTGCATGTCAGAGCAAAAACCAAGCCATGAGGTTGAATGAATTGTCCGTAGAGCTCAGAGATAGGATTGTGTCGAGACACAGATCTGGGGAAGGATACAAAAAAATGTCTGCAGCATTGAAAGTCCCGAAGAACACAGTGGCTTCAATCTTTCTTAAATGGAAGAAGTTTGGAACCACCAAGACTCTTCCTAGGGCGGCCAAACTGAGCAATCGGGGGAGAAGGGCCTTGGTCAGGGAGGTGACCAAGAACCCGATGGTCACTGACAGAGCTCTAGAGTTCCTCTGTGGAAATGGGAGAACCTTCCAGAAGGACAACCATCTCTGCAGCACTCCACCAATCAGGCCTTTATGGTAGAGTGGCCAGACGGAAGCCACTCCTCAGGAAAAGGCACGAGAGCCTGCTTGGAGTTTGCCAAAAAGCACCTGAAGACTCTCAGACCATGAGAAGCAAGTCTGATGAAACCAAGATTGAATTATTTGGCCTGAATGCAAAGCGTCACGTCTGGAGGAAACCTGGCATGCGGTGGGGATGTTTTTCAGCGGCAGGGAGACTAGTCAGGATCGAGGGAAAGATGAATGGAGCAAAGTACAGAGAGATCCTTGATGCAAACCTGCTCCAGAGCGCTCAGGACCTCAGACTGGGGGCGAACGTACACCTTCCAACAAGACAACGACCCTAAGCACACAGCCAAGACAATGCAGGAGTGGCTTCGGGACAAGTCTCTGAATGCCCTTTAGTGGCCCAGCCAGAGTCTGGACTTGAACCTGATCGAACATCTCTGGAGAGACCTGAAAATAGCTGTGCAGCGACGCTCCCCATCCAACCTGACAGAGCTTGAGAGGATCTGCAGAGAATAATGGGAGAAACTCCCCAAATACAGGTGTGCCAAGCTTGTAGCGTCATACCCAAGAAGACTTGAGGCTGTAATCGCTGCCAAAGGTGCTTCAACAAATTACTGAGTAAAGGGTCTGAATACTTATGTAAATGTGATATTACAGTTTTTAATTTTAATAAATTAGCAAAAAAATTCTAAAAACCTGTTTTTGCTTTGTCATTATGGGGTATTGTGTGTAGATTGATGAAGGTAAAAAAAAAAAAATTGAATCCATTTTAGAGTAAGGCTGTAACGTAACAAAATGTGGGAAAAGTCAAGGGGTCTGAATACTTTCCGAATGCACTGTATCTAAAACAAAGGGGGAGCAGAGACTAGGGAACTGAAAGAAGACAGGACAAAGTGCAAGGGAGGATGAAGGGATGCAACAAAGAGGTGGTGACAAGATGGTGGGGAGGGAGGGAGGGACAAGACTGAAGGGATGACTAAGTGAGTAACACCAAAAGGAGGAGCAGAGGGGGGGACTGTGGTGGGGTAAGGAGAAATGGCAAGACATTGGATGAGAGAAGGCTAGCTCCAGAGGCCTGCGTAGTTGCCGTGAAGGCCCGAGCACAGCGGTCCGCCGGCCACAAACAGCTTGGTGCCAGAGTCGTCGTAGCAGTGTGTGTACACAGCGTTGGGGAACGAGTTAATGTCCGAGAAGTAGCTCCGCCACGTCTCGTCGTGATTCTGGGGGAAGAGAGAGAGAAACAGGTGTGAGAGAAGGAGGGGGTGACAGGATGGCAAAAGAACGGAGGAAGAGAACACTGAGGGAGAAATTAGAATTGCCGTTTTGTGCTAGCATCTTGTCCAGGCAGGTCCAAGACAGACTAACCACTGAGGTGAGGTGTCACAACAGTTTACTGCCAGAATGTTAAAATATATCCTTTATTAGTTTATTGCAACATTTGACCAGAAGGTCTTAGTTTTCGACCCAGCTTTCCACCAAAATTACAGATTATTTTTGTGTAAATCTTAAATCAGCTTTTCATAAATATGTTCCGTTTCATGACAGTGTTGTCAACTGTTTAAATCTATAAATGCTATGCCATGTCATTATGGAGAAATATAGAAATATAAACATGCAACAACTTGAAAGATTTTACTGAGCTACAGTTCATATAAAGAAATCAGTCAATTCAAATAAATTCAATAGGCCCTAATCACATGACTGGGAAAACAGATACGCATCTGTTGGTCACAGATTCAGTTGAAGTCGGAAGTTTACATACACTTAGGTTTGAGTCATTAAAACTCGTTTTTCAACCACTCCACAAATTTCTTGTTAAAAAACTATAGTTTCGGCAAGTCGGTTAGGACATCTACTTTGTGCATGACACAAGTAATTTTTCCAACAATTGTTTACAGACAGATTATTTCACTTATAATTCACTGTATCACAATTCAAGTGGGTCAGAAGTTTACATACACTAAGTTGACTGTGCCTTTAAACAGCTTGGAAAATTCCAGAAAATTATGTCATGGCTTTAGAAGCTTCTGATAGGCTAATTGACATAATTTGAGTCAATTGGAGGTGTACCTGTGGATGTATTTCAAGGCCTACCTTCAAACTCAGTGCCTCTTTGCTTGACATCATGGGAAAATCAAAAGAAATCAGCCAAGACCTCAGGAAAAAAAATTGTAGACCACAAGTCTGGTTCATCTTTGGGAGCAATTTTCAAATGCCTGAAGGTACCGTGTTCATCTGTACAAACAATAGTACGCAAGTATAAACACCATGGGACCACGCAGCCATCATACTGCTCAGGAAGTAGACGCGTTCTGTCTCCTAGAGATGAACGTACTTTGGTGCAAAAAGTGCAAATCAATCCCAGAACAACAGCAAAGGACCTTGTGAAGATGCTGGAGGAAACGGGTACAAAAGTATCTATGTCCACAGTATAACGAGTCCTATATCGACGTAACCTGAAAGGCTGCTCAGCAAGGAAGAAGCCACTGCTCCAAAACCGCCATAACAAAGCCAGACTACGGTTTGCAACTGCATATGGTGACAAAGATCGTACTTTTTGGAGAAATGTCCTCTGGTCTGATGAAACAAAAATATAACTGTTTGGCCATAATGACCATCGTTATGTTTGGAGGAAAAAGGGGAACGCTTGCAAGCCGAAGAACACCATCCCAACCGTGAAGCACGGGGGTGGCAGCATCATGCTGTGGGGGTGCTTTGCTGCAGGAGGAACTGGTGCACTTCACAAAATAGATGGCATCACGAGGAAGGAAAATTATGTGGATATATTGAAGCAACATCTCAAGACATCAGTCAGGAAGTTAAAGCTTAGTTGCAAATGGGACTTCCAAATGGACAATGACCCCAAGCATACTTCCAAAGTTGTGGCAAAATGGCTTAAGGACAACAAAGTCAAAGTATTGGAGTGGCCATCACAAAGCCCTGACCTCAATCCTATAGAAAATGTGTGGGCAGAACTGAAAAAGCATGTGCGAGCAAGGAGGCCTACAAACCGGACTCAGTTACACCAGCTCTGTCAAAAGAAATGGGCCAAAATTCACCCAACTTATTGTGGGAAACTTGTGGAAGGCTACCCGAAAAGTTTGACCCAAGTTACACAATTTAAAAGACAATGCTACCAAATACTAATTGACTGTTTGTAAACTTCTGACCTACTGGGAAAGTGATGAAATAAATAAAAGCTGAAATAAATCATTCTCTCTACTATTATTCTGACATTTCACATTCTTAAAATAAAATGGTGATCCTAACTGACCAAAGACAGGGAATTGTTACTAGGATTACATGTCAGGAATTGTGAAAAACTGAGTTTAAATGTATTTGGCTAAGGTTTATGTAAACTTCCGACTTCAACTGTACCTTAAAAAAAAGGTAGGGGCATGGATCAGAAAACCAGTCAGTATATGGTGTGAGCACCATTTGCCTCATATAGCGTGACATCTCATTCGCATGGAGTTGATCAGGCTGTTGACTGTGGCCTGTGGGAATGTTGTCCCACTTCTCTTCAATGGCTGTGCGAAGTGGCTGGATATTGGCAAGAACTGGAACACGCTGTTGTACACGTCGATCCAGAGCATCCCAAACATACTCAATGGGTGACATGTCTGGTGAGTATGCAGGCCATGGTAGAACTGGGACATTTTCAGCTTCCCGGAATTCGAATTGCCATCGATAAAATGCAATTGTGTTCATTGTCCGTAGTTTATGCTTGCCTATACCATAGCCCCACTAGCCACCATGGGGCACTCTGTTCAAAACATTGACATCAGCAAACCGCTCCCCCACACGACACCATACACGCTGTCTGCCATCTGCCCGGTACAGTTGAAACCAATATTCATCCATGAAGAGCACACTTCTCCAGCGTGCCAGTGGCCATCGAAGGTGAGCATTTGCCCACAAGTCTGTTACGACGCCGAACTGCAAATCAGGTCAAGACCCTGGTGAGGACGACGAGCACGCATATTAGCTTCCCTGAGACTGTTTCTGACAGTTTGTGCAAAATTCCTCGGTTGTGCAAGCCCACAGTTTCCTTAGCTGTCCGGATGGCTGGTCTCAGACGATCCCGTGAGTGAAGAAGCCCGATGTGGAGGTCCTGGGCTGGCGTGGTTACACGTGTTCTGCGGTTGTGAGGCCGGTTGGACTACTACCAAATTCTCTAAAACGACGTTGGAGTTGGCTTATGGTAGAGAAATGAACAAATTCTCTGGCAACAGCTCTGGTGGACATTCCTGCAGTCAGCATGCCAATTGCACGCTCCTTCAAAACTTGAGACATCGGTTGCATTCTTTTAATTTGTAATTTTCTACCCCTTTTTCTCCCCAATTTCGTGATTTTCAATTGGTAGTCACAGTCTTGTCCAATCGCTGCAAACTCCCGTACGGACTCGGGAGAGGTGAAGGTCAAGAGCCATGCGTCCTCCGAAATACAAACCTGTCAAGCCGCACTGCTTCTTGACACACTGCTTGCTTAACCCGGAAGCCAGCCGCACTAATGTGTCGGAGGAAACATCATACAACTGGCGACCATGTCAGCATGCATGCGCCCGGCCCGCCACAGGAGTCACTAGAGCGCAATGGGACAAGGACATCCCGGCCGGCCAAACCCTCCCCTAACCCGGACGACGCTGGGCCAATTGTCCGTCGCCTCATGGGTCTCCCGGTCGCGTCCGGCTGCGACACAGCCCGGGATCGAGCTCGGGATCGAACCCAGATCTGTAGTGACGCCTCAAGCACTGCAGTGCCTTGAGCCTCCCATGTGGCACAGCTGTCTATCTGTGGCATTTTGTTGTGTGACAAAACTGCACATTTTAGAGTGGCCTTTTATTGTCCCCAGCACAAGTTGCACCTATGTTATGATCATACTGTTTAATCAGCTTCTTGATATGCCACACGTCAGGTGGATGGATTATCTTGGTAAAAAAAGACATGCTCACTAACAGGGACGTAAACAAATGTGTGCACAAAATTAGAGATAAATAAGCTTTTTGTGCGTATGGAACATTTCTGGGTTCTTTTATTTCAGCTCATGAAACATGGGACCGACACTTTATATTTTGCGTTAATATTTTTTTCAGTATAGTAATAGCAGGACACTTCAAGTTGAAAGTTCCTAAGAGGGGTATACATTACAAAGTGGAATAACAAATAAAGCGTACCAGCCAGCCCTTCCCTGTGGTGAGTTTAAGGATCCCCTCTCCTGGGCGCTGACGGAACCCGCTGGCCGGGCTGGAAGGGTCCTCCAAGAACCTCTGGGCTCTGATGTCATAGAAGAGCAGAGAGCCCTGTCCCGTGCCCACTGTCACTATGTGCTCATAGAAACTCACAGAGCGGATGCCTTGGAACGAGAGCACACACACAGACAAGTTAAACCTCGCTTTTAATAGCTTCATAAAGTAAAAAAAAAATAGCTATCACTAATTTCCCGTTCAAAAGTACTGCCTCTGCACTTGTTTGTAATGCCGCATTCAAATGCTCCTCGGAATCTCGTATTTCCCGACATGAGTGCTTTCAAGTGCTTTTGAAGTCGAAAGAACCCTTCAACCAATGAGATTTTAGCTAGCTAATGTTGCTAATAATAATTTAGCTAGCTTTCTGAAGTTGACAATACAACCAAACTAGCTACATTATTCACATTAAAATAATGTACCAATAATGTAAATTGCTTTGTTTTATCTTTGGTTGAAAAGGTGAAAGGCCAGTGATGAAATGCCACATGTCGTTAACTCGGGTATCTTAATTTTCTCCCGACTTTCCCACTCGTAATCCCGACTTGGAAGGCCATTCAAGTGACATTTCTGAGTCGGAAACTCCTATTTCCCGATAATTCCGACACCACTTGAAGGCAGCATAAGTGCAGGGCGGGTCTTGGCGAATGTTTGGGTTTTGTTTTGCTTCTTGGTGGAATGTGTTTGTGGTACCTCGTGTTGCCTCTGGAGAAATGAAATGAAATGAAAGTTACAGAATGTTGACACAATGTGTGTATGTATGCTATTGTGTTTTATATACAGTGCATTCTGAAAGTTCAGACCCCTTCACTTTTTCCAGAAAAGTTTACGTTACAGCCTTATTCTAAAACGGTATCAATTGTTTTTTCCCCCCTCATCAATCTACACACAACGCCCCATAATGACAAAGCGAAAACAGGTTTAGAAAATTTTGCAAATTTCTTAAGAATAAAAAACTGAAATACCTTATTTACATTATTTACGTAGATCAGCTTTAATATTGCAGATAGATTGTAACTTCCATCAATGTAATTGTCTGCATCTTTTCCAATCCCCCATACATATTTTTTTCTTGCAAATATATATATACACACACACATATATATATATATATATATATACATACACACACACACACATATAAATACATATCCTTTAAAAAAATGTATTTCCATTTATTACTTTCCAACCCTTCCCTAATTGGAGTAAACTAGTGAACAACAAAGCTTAGGCCTCTACTTCAAGCTTATACATACTATATATATATATATATATATATATATATATATATATATATATATATTATATATTATGGACACAGGCAATTTTACAATATTTCTATTTTGTTTGTTTTTACTCCTGAACTTCCTCTACCCTCAACCTCTCCGATCATTTTCATGATGTCCATCCGGTTTGCTTCTATATGCCATATCTTTCTAACTGTGCTCTTTCACAAAAGCTCTCAACCTATAACCTATACACTTATTATGGACACAGTATGCTTTACATTAGTTATCTTATTGTTATTAGTTGTTATTAGTCCCATCCTTCAACACCACCCATCTATCTCTTTACACCATCAATGTTGGATTTCTATTTGCCATATATTTTTCAACTGTACTGTTTTACAAAAGTTTGGAACCCTTATATTCTCATTGTTTCTACAGATTGTAAATTAAAAATACATATTTTTGCTAAAAGTAGTTTATTATTGATCGATTGACTATGACTTTTCAGATCACCCAGTAGTGCTATCTGCAGGGTTAGCTTCAGGTAAATATTGCAATCCTTTAGCCATTCCTGGACCTGTGTCCAAAAACAAGCTACAAATGGATAGTACCAAAACAAATGATCTAATGATTCTGTCTCTTCGCAGCAAAATCTGCAGCGCTGGGAAGATTGTATCCCCCATATAAATAACATTCTATTGGTAGCAAGAATTTTGTATAATAATTTAAATTGAAAAATTCTAAGTTTTGAATCCGGCGTCGTTTTGCGTATCAGTTCATAAACACTATGCCATGGAATCAGTACGTCAAAAATCTCTTCCCAACTATTTTGGTCCTTAAATGAAACTGGTATACTTTTTTATTTATCACAATTTTCTTTAACCAATTATATTATTTAATGCAGGGCCGACAGACAAGTTTCTTACTTTTCCCCCCTTCCACTTTCTTCTTCCATTTTTGCGGTAATGCTGCAATTATTTGGTTGGAATTTTGGGTAGAGCAGGCATTTCCATATGTTTTTGTTAGCTGCATGTGCGACATAACTCCACCAGTCCTACCTATGATATCATTTACGAAGATTATGCCTTTTTAAAACATTTTCTTTTAAATAATGTTTTATCAATTAGTATATTTGAGTTTAACCACAATTGTGTTGCATTATTTGTTCTGTCATTTCTGGAGGATTATATTGAAATTGCAACCAACTTTCTATGGCTTGTTTTAGAAATAGTGATATTTGGGAGATGATTTCCTTTTCAAATAAATGAAAGTGAGAGGTTGTAATCTGAATAAAGGGAAAAAGGCCATTCTTGAAAATTGGGTGAGACAATCTTACTAATTTGCGAGAGAACCAGTTCGGATTTAAGTATACATTTTGTATGAACTGAAGCTTTTAGTGATAGGTCATATGCCTTAATATTGAATAATTTCTGTCCTCCGAATTCATATTCATTATAGAAATAGGCCCGTTTAATTTTGTCTGGCTTGCCGTTCCAAATCAAATGGAATCTTTTTTTCTCATATAATTTAAAAAACTAGGCGTAGGTGTAGGCAAGGCGTAGGCAAGACCATAAGCAAATAGGTAAACTGGGATAATACTAAAGAGTTAAATCAGGGTGAGTTTTCCACAAATTGACAGGTATTTACCTTTCCATAGTAGCAAGATCTTATCTATTTTTTCTAACTTTCTATTATTTTTTTGGGGAGTGAGATCATTTATTTCATTTGGGATATGTATTTCGAGAATATCCACATCACCATCAGACCATTTTATTGGTAAACTACATGGTAATGTAAAAATTGTATTTTTTAGTGATCTAATACGTAATATAGTACATTTATCATAATTTGGTTGTAATCCAGAGAGGTTAGAAAATGTACTAGATCTAGATTCTATATGAGGCTGTGGAGGGATTCAAGTTGTGGATTTAAAAGAAAACATAAATCATCAGTGTACAATGACACCTTTGTTTCTGAGAAATAGCCATTATTTACTATTTTACACCTAGGGTTCCTATACATGATTGTAACCCATTTTATAAGAGATTCTCCAAAATTGAAATGCTCCAGGCATTTATATATAAACCCCAGTCGTACTTTATCAAATGCCTTTTCAAATTCTGCTATGAATAGCAGGCCTGGTTTCCCAGATTTTTCATAGTGTTCTATTGTTTCCAGTACTTGTGGTCCTCTGTAGCTCAATTGGTAGAGCATGGCGCTTGTAATGCCAGGGTAGTGGGTTCGATCCCCGGGACCACCCATACGTAAAAATGTATGCACACATGACTGTAAGTCGCTTTGGATAAAAGCGTCTGCTAAATGGCATATTATATATATTATCTCCAATGTATCGTCCATGTAAAAAACCTGTCTGAATAGAATGAATAATGTCCGACAATACCTTTTTAATTCTATGCGCTATACATTTTGCTAGAATTTTTGCATCACAACACTGAAGTGTAAGGGGCCTCCAATATTTTAAATGGACTGGATCTTTATATTTTCCTCTTGTATCCTGTTTCAGTAATAATGAAAATCAGACCTTCTTGAGTGTCTGATAATCTACCATTTACATAGGAGTGATTAAAACATGCTAATAACAGTCCTCTGGATACAGTGAGGGAAAAAAGTATTTGATCCCCTGCTGATTTTGTACGTTTGCCCACTGACAAATAAATGATCAGTCTATAATTTTTATGGTAGGTTTATTTGAACAGTGAGAGACAGAATAACAACAAAAAAATCCTGAAAAACGCATGTCAAAAATGTTATAAATTGATTTGCATTTTAATGAGGGAAATAAGTATTTGACCCCCTCTCAATCAGAAAGATTTCTGGCTCCCAGGTGTCTTTTATACAGGTAACGAGCTGAGATTAGGAGCACACTCTTAAAGGGAGTGCTCCTAATCTCAGCTTGTTACCTGTATAAAAGACAACTGTCCACAGAAGCAATCAATCAATCAATCAATCAATCAATCAATCAGATTCCAAACGCTCCACCATGGCCAAGACCAAAGAGCATTCATACCCAAGAAGACTCGAGGCTGTAATTGCTGCCAAAGGTGCTTCAAAAAAGTACTGAGTAAAGGGTCTGAATACTTATGTAAATGCAATATATTTTTTGTGTATATATATATAATATATATATACACACACGCAAACATTTCTATATACGGAAAATAAACTATTTCATCCATTTTAGAATAAGGCTTTAACGTAACAAAACATGGAAAAAGTCAAGGGGTATGAATACTTTCCGAATGCACTGTATCCATAAATGCACCCGTTATATATATAATGTTTGTGTCGGTATCAAACAGTGTAGTGTGGTGTCAATTCCTCACCGCTTCCTCTCTCCCGGGAACTGACTGATTTGATGTTGTGAGTGGGCTGCCGGGGGTCCAGGAAGGACACATGGGCCTGAGAGCCCACTGCGTACACCGACCAGTCCTGACCGTACGCCAGACACACATTCTCCTTGCAGTGAGGCAGCTTCGTGGACAGCAGCTATGGACAACAGATACACAGGCTTGGTAGACAGGGTTGGGCATATTGCTAGACAAGGCTAAGGACAAACACGCATACGCACACAATCGTCTTGATCAGAAACGTTTGTGGTATGTGAGGACATTCAACAAAATGCAGGAGGGTTCAACACTGACTTATGAGGACACCAACTGAGTCTTCATAATCTCTAATGTCCCCAAGCACACAGTCACAGAACCAAGCAAGCATTGATAAGCAGAGCGGACCCAGAGATACTAAAACCGACCTTGCTCAAGTTTTGCTCTGCCTTCCAAAGGTGAAAATAGCCATCCAGGGACACTGCACCAAGCTCCTGAGAGAAGGTGAGAAGACATAGCATGTAGGTCCCAATTACAACACTGATTTGTACTAGGGAACAAAGGCAGTGGTTTGTCTCAGAGGGCTTGGAGGGAGGTGTGGCTGACCTTGTGGTTGTTGTTGAAGGCCAGGGCCCGCACTTTGCAGTTGTACGGGTTAGTGTATTCCTTGGGGATGTCCTTCAGGGCACGGTGGGAGATGTGAGAGTAGCAGGGGACCCCCTCCTCATCCTGCTGTCTCATAGCCTGGTTCAGCACCTGTTCGGATACCTCCCACAGCCCCATGGAACCGTCCCGGGACCCTGGGGAGTAGCAGCATATTGACTGGTTGGTGGATTTCATCTGGAGACATTATATACATGAAAAACACTCGAGGATGAACAATAGTTTGAAGTTCTCCCGATGGCAATTTGTCACTTCAAATCTAATTTTATTGGTCACATGCGCCGAATACAACAGGTGTAGACTTTACTGTGAAATGCTTGCTTACGAGCTCTTCCCAATGACGCAGAGAAAAAAATTAATTAAAAAAATAGTAACATGAGGAATAAAATACAAAAGAATGAAGCTATAGACAGGGAGTACCAGTACCAGATCAATGTGCAGGGGTACGAGGTATTTGAGGTAGATATGTACATAAAGGGAGGGTTAAGTGACTAGGTATCAGAATAGATAAGTGTAAGAATAAAGAACATAGTAGCAGCAGCATATGATGAGTGTGTGTTGTGTCGGTATGTGTGTGTGTGCGCGTATGTAGTCTATGTGAATGTGTGTGGGTTTCGTGTGAGTGTGTATACACTATACATATAAAAATGTGGACACCCCTTCAAATGAGTGGATTCGGCCATTTCAGCCACACCTGTCGCTGACAGGTCTATAAAATGAAGTACACAGCCATGCAATCTCCATAGACAAACATTGGCAGTAGAATGGCCTTACTGAAAACGTCAGTGACTTTCAACGTGGCACCGTCATAGGATGCCACCTTTCCAACAAGTCAGTTCGTCAAATTTCTACCCTGCTAGAGCTGTCCCAGTCAACTGTAAGTGCTGTTATTTTGAAGCGGAAGCGTCTAGGAGCAACAACGGCTCAGCCGCGACGTGGTAGGCCACACAAGCTCACAGAATGGGTCCGCCAAGTGCTAAAGGGCGTAGAGCGGAAAAATAGTCAGTCCTCGGTTGCAACACCCATATGTAACTCTGCGTTGTTGTTTTTAATCGTACTGCTTTGCTTTATCTTGGCCAGGTCGCAGTTGTAAATGAGAACTTGTTCTCAACTGGCTTACCTGGTTAAAGAAAGGTTAAATAAAAATAAACACTCACTACCGAGTTCCAAACTGCTTCTGGAAGCAACGTCAGTACAATAACTGTTCGTCGGGAGCTTCATGAAATGGGTTTCCATGGCCGAGCACTTACAAGCCTAAGATCACCATGTGCAATGTCAAGTGTCGGCTGGAGTGGTGCAAAGCTCGCCGGACTCTGGAGCAGTGGAAACGCGTTCTCTGCAGTAATGAATCACGCTTCACCATCTGGCAGTCCGACAGACAAATCTGGGTTTAGCGGATGCCAGGAGAAAGCTACCTACCCGAATGCATAGTGCCAACTGTAAAGTTTGGTGGAGGAGGAATAATGGTCTGGGGCTTTTTAATGGTTCGGGCTAGGCCCCTTAGTTCCAGTCAAGGGAAATCTTAATGCCACAGCATACAATTACATTCTAGATGATTCTGTGCTTCCAACTTTGTGGCAACAGATTGGGGAAGGCCCAAACTGGTCCATACAGAAATGGTTTGCCGAGATTGGTGTGGAAGAACTTGACTGGCCTGCACAGAGCCCTGACCTCAACCCCATCGAACACCTTTGGGATGAATTGGAACGCCGACTGCGAGCCAGGCCTAATCACCAACCTCACAAATGCTCGTAGCTGAATGGAAGTCCCAGCAGCAATGTTCCAACATCTAGTAGAAAGCCTTCCCAGAGGAGTGGAGGCTGTTACAGCAGCAAAGGGGGGACCAACTCCATAATAATGCCCATGATTTTTGAATGAGATGTTTGACGATCAGGTGTCCACATACTTTTGGTCATGTAGTGTATAGTCTTGTGAGTGTGCATAGAGTCACTGCAAGATAGGGTCAATGCAGATAGTCCATTGAACTATTAAGAAGTCTTATGGCTTGGGGGTAGAATCTGTCTCCGAGCCCGTTGGCCCGAGAGCCGATGCTCCGGTACTGTTTGCCAGACGGTAGCAGAGTGAACAGTCAATGGCTTGGGTGGCTGAAGTTCTTGGCAATTTTTCGGGTCTTCCTCTGACACCGCCTGATATAGAAGTCCTGGATGGCAGGGAACTCGGCCCAGTGATTTACTTTGCGGTCGAGGGCGGTGCATTTGCCATACCAAGCGGTGATGCAGACAGTCAAGATGCTCTCGATGGTGCAGCTGTAGAACTTTGAGGATCCATGGGCCCATTCATAATCTTTTCAGCCTCCTGGGGGGGGAAGAGGCGTTTCACAACTGGGTGTGTGTGGACCATGTTAAGTCCTTAGTGATGTGGATGCCAAAGAACTTGAAGCTCACGACCCGCTCCACTACAGCCCTGTATTTCTCTTGTTGTCCACAATCAGCTCCAGGGTCTTAGTGATGTTGAGGGAGAGGTTGTTGTCCTGGCACCACATTGCCAAGTCTCTGACCTCCTCCCTGTAGGCTGTTTCACGATCGGTGATCAGGCCTACCACCGCCGTGTCATCAGAAAACTTGATGGTATTGTAGTTGTGGCTGGCCACACAATCGTGGTTGAACAGGGAGTACAGGAGGGGACTAAGCACGCACCCCTGAGGTGCCCTTGTGTTGAGGGTCAGCGTGGCAGAGGTGTTGTTGCCTACCCTCACCAACTGCGGCCGGCCCGTCAGGTAGTCCAGGATCCAGTTGGAGAGGGAGGTGTTCAATCCCAGGGTCCCAAGCTTGGTGATTAGGTAGGAGGGGACTACGGTGTTGAACGCTGAGCTGTAGTCTATGAACAGCACTCTCACAAATACTGAACAAAAATATAAAACGCAACATGTAAAGTGTTGGTCCCATGTTTCATGAGAAAAAAATACAAAAGATCCCAGAAATTGTCCATATGCACAAAAAGCTTATTTCTCTCAAATTGTGTACAAAATACATCCCTATTAGTGAGCATTTCTCTTTTGCCAAGATAATCCATCCATCTGACAGGTGTGGCATATCAAGAAGCTGATTAAACAGCATGATCATTACACAGGTGCACCTTGTACTGGGGACAATAAAAGGCCACCCAAATGTGCAGTTTTGTCACACAACACAAAGCCACAGATGCCTCAAGTTTTGAGGGAGCGTGCAATTGGCATGCTGACAGCAGGAATGTCCACCAGAGTTGTTGCCAGAGAATGTAATGTTAATTTCTCTACCATAAGCTGCCTCAAATGTTGTTTTAGAGAATTTGGCACTACGTCCAACCGGCCTCACAACCACGTGTAACCACGCCAGCCCAGGGCCTCCACATCCTGCTTCCTCACCTGCGAGATCGTATGAGACCAGTCACCCGGACAGCTGATGAAACTGTGGATTTGCACAAACTAAGAATTTCTGCACAACTGCCAGAAATGGTCTCAGGGAAGCTCGTCTATTTAACAGTCTGATGGCCTTGAGATAGAAGCCGTTTTTCAGTCTCTTTGTCCCAGTTTTGCTGTACCTGTACTGACCTCGCCTTCTGGATGATAGCGGGATGAACAGGCTGTGGCTCGGGTGGCTGAGGTCCTTGATGATCTTCTTGGCCTTCCTGTGACACCGGGTGCTGTAGATGTCGTGGAGGGCAGGCAGTGTGCCTCCGGTGATGCGTGGGTAGACCGTAACACTCTCTGGAGAGCCCTGCGGTTGCAGACGGTGCAGTTGCCGTACCAGGTGGTGATACAGCCTGACAGGATGCCCTCAATGGTGCATCTGTAAAAGTTAGTGAGGGTCTTAGGGGCCAAGCCAAATTTCTTCAGCCATCTTCACCACACCGTCTGCGTGGGTGGACCATTTCAGATTGTCAGTGGTGTGTATGCCGAGGAACTTGAAGCTTTTCACCTTCTCCACTGATTTACCGTCAATGTGGATGGGGGCGTGCTCCCTCTGCTGTCTCCTGAAGTCCACAATCAGCTCTTTTGTTTTTGTTGGGGGAGAGGTTATTTTCCTGGCACCTCTCCTCCAGGGCCCTCACCTCCACCCTGTAGGCTGTCTCATTGTTGTTGGTAATCAGACCTACCACTGTTGTGTCGTCTGCATACTTGATGATTGAGTTGGAGGCGTGCGTGGCCACACAGTCATTGGTGAACAGGGAAAACAGGGGAGGCTGAGCACGCACCTTTCCAGGACCCAGTTGCAAAGTTGGGGTTCAGACCCAGAGCCCCAAGCTTAATGATGAGCTTGGAGGGTACCCTGGTGTTGAAGGCTGAGCTGTAATAAATGAACAGCATTCTTACATACACTCCCGGTCAAAAGTTTTAGAACACCTACTCATTCAAGGGTTTTTCTTTATTTTTTTTTGGTTACTACATGATTCCATATGTGTCATTTCATAGTTTTGATAGTAAAAATAAAGAAAAACCCTTGAATGAGTAGGTGTTCTAAAACTTTTGACCAGTAGTGTAGGTATTCCTCTTGTCCAGATGGGATAGGGCAGTGTGCAGTGCGATTGCATTATCCGTGGATCTATTGGGGTGGTATGCAAACTGCAGTGGGCCTAGGGCAGGGGTGTCAAACGTCCGGCCCGTGGGCCGGATCAGGCCCGCAAATGGGTTTAATCCGGCCTGCGAGATGATCAAAAAAAAAAAAACATTAATATTTTTGTAAAGTATAAAAATGCGCTGCAATTTTTCTATAAAATAAACTGCTGTTCCAATTGCGTCCACTGGATGGCGCAATATTAATTGTGTTAAGCAAGCAAACTGTTTATACCGGGGCAGAGCAAGTAGGTCAAACACGTGTAGCCAATGAGCTACTTTGTTTTGCCCGCGATATTTATTACGGCTTCTACTTTTAACATTATGTGCTTTGGCACCCTCATTGCCCCAATATGTCTCTGTCAAAAAAAGGGAACGCAGAGTGCAGAGTGTTCCAAGAAAAATTGTCATCCTATTTATTCACGGAATTGAATGGGAAAGCTGTATGTTTGGTGTGTTCAGAGCATGTTGCAGTGCTGAAAGAATATAACCTTCGTCGCCACTATGTGAGTCTTCATGCCGACAAATATGACAACTTTCAAGGACAGCGGAGATGAGAGAAAGTGAATGAACTGTTGGCGGGTCTGAAGAAACAGCAGTCTGTGTTTACTCACAGCCGAGACATCAGTGACGCTGCAGTGAAAGCTAGCTACCTCATTGCTAATGAAATCGCAGTGGCTTCAAAACCATTTAGTGAGGGTGAATTTGTAAAAACATGCATGATGAAGGCAGCGGAGATTGTGTGCCCTGAAAAGCGGCAGGCTTTTGCAAATATCAGCCTGACAAGAAACACAGTTGCAGACAGGATTTCCGATCTTTTAGTGGATTTGGATAGCCAGTTGAAGCAAAAAGTAAAGTCATTTATTGCGTTTTCGGTTGCAATTGATGAAAGCACGGACATTACAGATGTTGCACAACTGGCCATTTTCATTCGCAGAGTTGATGACACATTGACCGTCACCGAGGAGTTCGTGGAGTTGGTGCCGATGACAGATACAACGACAGCAGCTGATATTTTTACCGCACTCGTCGGCGCGCTGGACAGGGTCGGAGTGGACTGGTCCCGCGCTGTCAGCCTGGCTACAGATGGTGCGCCCTCAATGATCGGGAAAAAAGCAGGCGTTGTGACAAAGTTCAGAGAGAAAGTGCAATCTGCAAATGGAGGACGTGATTTTTTAACTTTTCACTGTATTTTGCACCAGGAGGCTTTGTGTTGCAAGTCATTAAAGATGGATAACGTCATGAAGGTGGTCATCCAAACTGTTAATTTCATCCGATCCAGAAGCCTGAATCACCGTCAGTTTGACAGCCTTCTCAGAGAGAAAGACCACATCTATGGCCTGCCATACCACACTGAGGTAAGATGTTTAAGCCGAGGTGCTGTGCTGAGGCGTTTCTTTGATTTACGAGAAGAAATTGAACAGTTCATGGAAGAAAAGGGCAAACCAGTGTTAGAATTTCATTCCGCAGAATGGATGCAGGACCTTGCATTTATGGTGGATGTTACAGAGCACCTGAATAACTTGAACAAACAGCTGCAAGGCCGCAACAAAGTTGTCACGCAGTATTATGACAGCATACGTTCTTTCAAGTTGAAGCTGTCATTGTGGGAGACGCAACTTGCCGGTGGTGATGCAGCTCACTTCCCCTGTCTGAAAAATGTGTGCGCGACCCAACATGTGGCAGACATGAAGCGGTTCAAAGATAAAATAACGGGACTGTTACGGGAGTTTGAGCAACGCTTTCAGATTTATGTTTATATGTTTTTATGTTGATGTGCTATTGTTTTTAATTGATTTTATTTTATTTGTATATTTAACCTATTCTTGACTCTGTGGTTCTTGCACTTGTTTGGGGAACAGGATTTCATTATTTTTATCTACATTTCTGCCTGAGAAATGACACCCTGATATAGTTATGTGATCTGTGAAACAGTTCTGTTAATCACTGAGGCATTGTGTGTTTGTGTGTTCTTTGTCCTCAGAACTTTCAAATAACTTGAGGTGTTTTATGATTAATAGTGATGTTGTGCTTTTGGACACTGTGCTCAGGCTCCAGCTTTATGTTTATATGTTTTTATGTTGATGTGCTATTGTTTTTAATTGATTTTATTTTATTTGTATATTTAACCTATTCTTGACTCTGTGGTTCTTGCACTTGTTTGGGGAACAGGATTTCATTATTTTTTATCTACATTTCTGCCTGAGAAATGACACCCTGATATAGTTCTGTGATCTGTGAAACAGTTCTGTTAATCACTGAGGCATTGTGTGTTTGTGTGTTCTTTGTCCTCAGAACTTTCAAATAACTTGAGGTGTTTTATGATTAATAGTGATGTTGTGCTTTTGGACACTGTGCTCAGGCTCCAGCTTTATGTTTATATGTTTTTATGTTGATGTGCTATTGTTTTTAATTGTTTTTATTTTATTTGTATATTTAACCTATTCTTGACTCTGTGGTTCTTGCACTTGTTTGGGGAACAGGATTTCATTATTTTTATCTACATTTCTGCCTGAGAAATGACACCCTGATATAGTTCTGTGATCTGTGAAACAGTTCTGTTAATCACTGAGGCATTGTGTGTTTGTGTGTTCTTTTTCTTTAGAATTTTCAAATAAACTTGACGTGTTTTATGATTAATAGTGATGTTGTGCTTGTACTATTTTGGACACACTGTCCTCAGGCTCCAGCTTTATGTTGTATGTTGATCGTATTAAAACAAAGAAAACAATCTGAAGTTGTTGTTTTTAAGTTATATATACCATGATATTTCCGGTCCGGCCCACTTGGGAATAGATTTTCCTCCATGTGGCCCCTGAGCTAAAATGAGTTTGACACCCCTGGCCTAGGGTGTCGGGTAAGGTGGAGGTGATCCTTAACTAGCCTCTCAAAATACTTAATGATGAAAGAAGTGAGTGCTATGGGGCGATAGTCATTTAGTTCAGTTACCTTCGCTTTCTTGGGTACAGGAACAATAGTGGACATCTTGAAGCAAGTGGGGACAGCAGACTGGGATAGGTAGATTTAATATCGCCTTAATTACTCCAGCCAGCTGGTCTGCACATGCTCTGAAGACACAGCTGGTCTGCACATGCTCTGAAGACATAGCTAGGGATGCCGTCTGGGCCGGCAGCCTTGCGAAGGTTAACACACTTAAATGTCTTACTCACGTCGGCCACGGAGAACGAGAGCTCACAATCCTCAGGAGCGGCCCGTGTCTGCGGCACTGTGTTATCCTCAAAGAAGGCTAACGTTTTAAGCTTGTCCGGGAGCAAGACATCGGTGTCCACGACGTGACTGGTTTTCCCTTTGTAATCCGTGATTGTCTGGAGTCCCTGCCACATACATCTCATGTCTGAGCTGTTGAATTGCGATTCCACTTTGTCTCAATACTGACGTTTTACCTGTGTGATTGCCTGTAAACACTTACCTTATCCATTCCCTTGTTACTACCTTTCTTGCCCAAGGATGCAACTTTATTTAATTTGTGTGCGCATGTTCTGAGAATGTGCCCTGGTATTCCGTCTGGCCCGGAGGCCTTACAAGTGTTAACATGTTTAAAAGTTTTACTCACATTGGCCACGGAGAGCAAGATCACAGTCATTCGGATCAACAGGGGCTTTCATGCAGTACTCTGTGTTGTTTTCCTTGAGACGACCATAAAAGGTATTTCACTCGTTTGGGAGTTCTGCGTCACTGGGCATCTCACTGCTGGATTTCCCTTTGTAATCCGTTAGTGTCTTCAAGCCCTGCCACATCCGACAAGTGTCGGAGACGGTGTAATAGGATACCACCTTCCTCCTATATTTTTCTTTTGCATGTTTGATGTCTTGTCGGAGGACGTAGCAGGCTTTCTTGTATGTGTCCATGTCCGTGTCCCATTCTTTGTAAGCGGCAGCTCTAGCCTTTAGTCCAGCACGGATATTGCCTGTTATCTATGGTTTTGGGTTTGGATAGGTTTGTATAGTCACTGTGGGGACGACATAGTCTATGCACTTATTGAGGAACCCGTGACTGACGTGGTAAACTCCTCAACGCTATCAGATGAATCCCGAAACATATCCCAGTCTGTACTAGCAAAACAGTCTTTTAGCCTTGAGTCTGCTTCATCGGACCACTTCCGTATTGAGCAAGTCACTGGTACTTTCTTTCTGAGCTTTTGTTTGTAAACAGGACAATAGAGTCACGGTCTGATTCGCCGAATGGAGGGTGAGGGCCTTCTATGCGTTTCTGTGGTTAGAATACAAGTGGTCTAGCTTTAGCGCCCCTAGTGGTGCAGGAGGCATGTTGGTGGAAGTGAGGTAGAACGGTTTTAAGTCTCTCCACGTTAAATTCTCCACCCACCAGAAAAGCTGCCTCTGGGTGCGTTGTTTGTTTGTTTATGGCCCCATACAGTTTGTTGAGTGAAAGTGGTGTTGGCTTATGGAGGGATGTAGACAGCCATGATAATTATGGATGAGAACTCTCTTGGTAGATAAAAAGGTCTGCAGTTTACCATGAAGTATTCAATACCAGTTGAATAAAAGCTTGAGAGTTCCTTCACACTGGAAGCAGTGCACCAGTTGTTGTTTATGAAGAGGCACAGCCCCCCTTGGACTTGCCTGAGGCCAATCGTACCGCTGCATGGAGAAACCCACTGAGTTTTATGTTCATAGATTGAGCCAGCCAAGTTTCTGCAAGGCATATAATATTGCAGTCCCTATGATAGGAGACTCTCGAAAGAAGCTCATCCATCTTATTCTTGAGTGACAGGACATTTGCCAATAAAATGGAGGGGAGTGCCGGTCGATCTTCTCTACGTCTCAGTCTCAGGACTGCCCATCTACGTCTGTAGCGTTTTGGTAGCCCATGAAACAAAGGAATAGCGTCCGGTGTGAACAAGGGAACAGCTGAGTCTGAGTTGAAGGCAGATTTGAAGTCGAAATCGAGGATAGCTACTGTCGATCCTATGTCCAAAAGCGCTTGGGCGGTCATATGTGATAATAGTATGAACTTCCTGTACAAAAAAAGTGTTTAAAAAGTCACTAAATAGTAGTCGGGTTGAAAATTGTAAGATGTCGGACTTCTCAGTAAGCGCAATTTTTGCAATTTAAAGGCCCAGTGTAGTCAAAAAAGTCATTTTCCTGTGTTTCATATACATTTCCACACTGAGGTTGGAATAAAAGTGTGAAAATTATGATAACGCCCTTTTAGTTTAAGAGCTGTTTTTCAGCCTGTTTTAGTGGGATGGAGTTTTGGCCTTCCATGGTGACATCACCATGCAGTAAATTAGTTAATAGACCAATAAGAAAATAGAATTCCAAACCTCTCTGGCAACAGCAGCTAATTTTCAGTTTCAGTTTCCCCCTCCCTACTCAGACCACTCCCAGACAGAAATTGCCCTTTGCTAAGATGCTATTTGTTTATTTTTGACCATTTTAATTGAAAACAATCACAGTAAGGTACTTAATTGTTACCCAGAAATTATTTGATTGAGAAAAACAGCTCATTGGACCTTTAAGACTTACCAGACACCGCCATGCTGTCGCTGATCCATGCAATGGAGAAGATCCAGTCATTATGGCCATCCTGAAAAATAGAGAACCCTCCCATGAGATACAATGAAAAACGTTATTTTATTTTCTATTCTAGGTATTGTATGATAGTTTTTTCCTCACTGGCCCCGACAGGCCAGTTGGCCAAAAATCTACTGGAACTAACAGAATTTCTACTGGCAAGGCATGGGGTGGTTTATAAATAAATGTGGGTCATGCAGGGCCTAGGTTGACATGCTTGTTTCATTCAGGCTACAAAAGGTTATTATGGTATATTAAAAAGCTGTGTAATACAATTTAGCAATGTAAGACATTACTCTATTCTTTAAATTATGTTTGTATTAATTGCATTAACTTTTGTTTCTGAAGTATGTCATTTTAAGATTTTTTTTTTTTAAATCTCAAAATAGGACATTTCCCCTTTTAAGACAAGTGCTTTTCAAAAGAGATATCCATCTGGCTAAAGTACAGGTTTTTTTCTGGATCAAAAAGGGGCTTAGGTGGAGGGTGTGGCAATGAGCACGGTTGGCACGGCCACATTTTGGAGAACATTTTAGAGGCCCCCCATCATGGCGGTGTAGAGAAACATTTTAAAGCTAATTTCCTGCAATTCTACACATTTCTCAATGGAGGTGAGAGAAAATGTTTGCAGTTTTAAAGCTAATTTTCTGCAATTCTACACAAATTTGCCTTGCAGCTGAGAGAAAATGTAGCAAATTTCCTGCGAGTCTACATATTCTTCCATGGAGCTGAGAGAAAATGTTGCAGTTTTAAAACCAGTTTCTGGTAATTGTATGCATTTTGCCTTGGCTAACGATGTGTTATTTTGCTCAAACATAAAATGTATACTGCTAAATTGATTGTTTTTGGAATTTTCAATTCTCCCTGACTGTCTAGCTTTTATTTTGGTGATTGTTAGTTCTCAAAGACTATATTATTTAAAAACATAGGTCGAACCCGAGCAGCGGTCTAAGGCACTGCATTGCAGTGCTAGAGGCGTCACTAGAGAACCAAGTTCAATCCCGGGCTGTATCACAACCGGCCGTGACCGGGAGTCCCATAGGGTGGCGCACAATTGGCCCAGCGTCGTCCGGGTTAGTGGAGGGTTTGGCCGGGGGGGCCTTAATTAGCTCATTGCGCTCTAGTGACTCCTTGTGGTGGGCCGGGCACCTACAGGCTGACCTCGGTCGTCAGTTGAATGGTGTTTCCTCCAACACATTGGTGCGGCTGGCTTCAGGGTTAAGCAGGCGGGTGTTAAGAAGCGCGGTTTAGCGGGTCATGTTTCGGTGGACGAATGACTCGACCTTTGCCTCCCAAGCCTGTTGGGGAGTTGCAGTGAAGAGACACGATCGAAATCGGGGAGAAAAAGAGGGCAAAAAAATACATTAAAACATACAGGTCCATTATCTTTTCTCCATGCTTTATATCTGGTTTAGGTCATTTAAGTATACACAAAGCTTTTGTCCATCCAGAAAATGAATAAATAAAATAAATAAAACATACAAAAATTGTTTGGGGTCACTTAGAAATGTCCTTATTTTCGAAAGAAAATCATTTTTTTAATCCATTAAAATAACATCAAATTGATCAGAAATACAGTGTAGACATTGTTAATGTTGTAAATGGCTACTGTAGCTGGAAACGGCTGATTTTTAATGAAATATCTACATAGGCCCATAATCAGCAACCATCAGTGCTGTGTTCCAATGGCACGTTGTGTTTCTAATCCAAGTTTATCATTTTAAAAGGCTAATTGATCATTAGAAAACCCTTTTGCAATTATGTTAGCACAGCTGAAAACTGTTGTGCTGATTAAAAAAGCAATACAACTGGCATTCTTGAGACTAGTTGAGTATCTGGAGCATCAGCAATTGTGGGTTTGATTACAGGCTCAAAATGGCCAGAAACAAATAACTTTATTCTGAAACTTGTCAGTCTATTCTTGTTCTGAGAAAGTGAAGAGGCGACTCCGGGATGCTGACCTTCTAGGCAGAGTTGCAAAGAAAAAGCCATATCTCAGACTGCCCATCTTAATCTTTTCTTTTTATTGGCCAGTCTGAGATATGGCTTTTTCTTTGCCACTCTGCCTAGAAGGTCAGCATTCCTGAGTTGCCTCTTCACTGTTGACGTTGAGACTGGTGTTTTGCGGGTACTATTTAATGAAACTGCCAGTTGAGGACCTGTGAGGCGTCTGTTTCTCAAACTAAACACTAATGTATTTGTCCTCTTGCTCAGTTGTGCAACGGGGCCTCCCACTCCTCTATCTATTCTGGTAAGAGCCAGTTTGCGCTGTTCTGTGAAGGGAGTAGTACACAGCGTTGTACGAGATCTTTAGTTTCTTGGCAATTTCTCGCATGGAATATCCTTCATTTCTCAGAACAAGAATAGACTGACGAGTTTCAGAAGAAAGTTACCATTCTCTGGTCTGATGAAATCAAGGTTGAACTCTTTGGCCTGAATCCCAAGCGTCACGTCTGAAGGAAACCTGACACCATCCCTACGGTGAAGCACGGTGGTGGCAGCATCATGCTGTGGGGATGTTTTTCAGCGGCAGAGACTGGGAGACTAGTCGAGATGGAGGCAAAGACGAACAGAGCGAAGTACAGAGAGATCCTTGATGAAAACCTGGTCCAGAGCGATCAGGACCTCAGAATGGGGGCGAAGGTTCACCTTCCAACAGGACAACGACCCTAAGCACAGAGCCAAGACAACGCAGGAGTGGCTTCGGGACAAGTCTCTGAATGTCCTTGAGTGGCCCAGCCAGAGCCCGGACTTGAACCTGAATAAACATCTCTGGAGAGACCTGAAAATAGCTGTGCAGCAACGCTCCCCATCCAACCTGACAGAGCCTGAGAGGATCTGCAGAGAAGAATGGGAGAAAATCTCCAAATACAGGTGTGCCAAGCTTGTAGCGTCATACCCAAGAAGACTTGAGGCTGTAATTGCTGCCAAAGGTGCTTCAACAAAGTACTGAGTTAAAGGGTCTGAATACTTATGTAAATGCGATTTCATTATTTTAATATATATATATATATATATATATATATATAAATTAGCAAAAATGTCTGAAAAACAGTTTTTGCTTCGTCATTATGGGGTATTGTGTGTAGATTGATGAGGGGAAAAAACTATTCAATCAATTTTAGAATAAGGCTGTAACCTAACAAAATGTGGAAAAAGTCAAGGGGCCTGAATACTTTCTGAAGGCATTGTATATTTTTTACACTGTTTGGACTTTGGCCCGCCCAAGGACTACAATGGCAGAAAACTCCCTGCAGTAGGCTAACCAAGACGAATGCCAGGTGTCTTTTTGCAGCTTCTTTTTGCAGACTATCAACAGTAGCCACTAGCCAGCCTATTGATAGCATGTTCACAATTCAAGGTTTCTTTTTGTAAATCACTTTCCCTAAAATAAATAAGCTCAGCGAGTGGATTGATGAGCGCTTCTTTTCACTCTGGACAGCTTGCGTGTGCCGTGTGAATGCGTCAACTCATGTAATGCTCAAGAAGTTGGCTCGCGAGGAGTGTGGTTGAATGAACGGCCAATCATATTGCTCAAATACAAATTGCATTACTTTTCCGCGTGTAGTCTTCAATGGTTTTCATTGGCAGACTGCGACAGAGCAGGTAAATGTTGAACTGGAACGCCAAAATGCGCTGAGAAATTACTGACAAGATCCACTGCCCCAACACATTTTTACTGGCTCCGAGCCAGCGGGCCATCGTTAATGTCAGACCCTGTATGACCAGACTTGCTTTTAGACTGTCTCAGCCACCACTCACGTCTCCCACGCAGACGGGGTCCAGGGTGGGCAGCCAGTAGACAGCCAGGCTGTTGGGGTTGTCTCCGCCGGTGGCCAGCAGAGTGCCGGAGGGGTTGAGCTCGATGGCGTGGATCCCACAGCCTTGCTGGTCCAGCCCGGAGCCACTTCCGAGGAAGGGGGCCCCTATTGTCCCCCCAATCCCCCCGGATCCCCCTCCTTGGCCCTGCCGGTCCTTCAGCATGGGAATGCGGGTAATCTGCCCTGTCAGAACATCTGCCACAAATAGCTGGGGAGAGGAGGAAAGAAACCTCTCGTTAGAGAAAGAACACGGTATGGAATCATGCAGGGGTCCCTTTCTGATTCATAATAGGATAGTTAAAGGTTTTCCGGTTCCCAGGACATTTTTCTTTATTTCCATTTTGAAAGAAGTAAAGCAGAGTAAAGTAAAAGAAGGCAGTCTCTCACCGTATTGCACTTGGTTCCACACACCACCTGGCGGTGGTTGAGCCACTGCGAGGCGAACACCTTGTTGAGGCAGCCCAGGGAGAACTCCTGCTCCTTCAGGATGCCTGGGAGGCGGCCGGCAGCAAAGCCCCGCAGGCTACGCTGGAGACGCCACTCATGCTGCTGCTGAGGCCGGATCTCGCGGCCCCGGAGCGCGCACACCACCGAGCGCAGACTACGCCACCACTGCTGGGCGTGCCGGGACGAGGAAGACACGCGTGTCCGCTTGTACGCCGACTGGCACCAGCCCAACTGACAGAGGAAAGAGAGAAAAAGAGAAAGGTTAACAAGGCTTAAATGAGACGAACAGCACCAAGTAAATCAAGTAAAGCAGCTAGGTTTCCATCCAATTGGCGACAGATATTTATGCAAATATTCAAATATCTGCATAAGGAAAATATGCACATTTTCCCACCAGTGGTATGTTTCCCCAAATGGACTTGTTGCGGATAAAAATCAGTGCGAACTCTACCGAACTGTTTCGGCTGGGAAGCATGCGGACGCCTTAAGATTAACTATTTTTGGAACGGAGGAGACTGATTAGTTGCATTACTTCCGAGAATATAAACACTCACATCTTTCATAGCAAGCTAGCGAGGGCCAGCGAGAGAGGGGAGGGGCACAGTATAGGTAGGTCGGCCACCAGGCAGACAGAGTCAGAACTGTGCACTAGGCCTATCTATCGGCAATCAAAAACATCAAACATTTATTGTGATGTCTCGCAACTTCAGTAAAGCAGGGCCTATCATCAATGAATAGGCTAGGATATTGAGATGAGCGAGACGCAACACTTATCTGCGCATGGGTTTAATTCAAGCCGTTCACAGCGTGGTAACTTGGGTAACAAAACAGCAGAGAAGTTGTTGAAATTGACCCACTACGCGGTTTTCTTTCTGAATCTACTTTTAAAATACACTGCTCAAAAAAATAAAGTGAACACTTAAACAACACAATGTAACTCCAAGTCAATCACACTTCTGTGAAATCAAACTGTCCACTTAGGAAGCAACACTGATTGACAATACATTTCACATGCTGTTGTGCAAATGGAATAGACAACAGGTGGAAATTATAGGCAATTAGCAAGACACCCCCAATAAAGGACTGGTTTTGCAGGTGGTGACCACAGACCACTTCTCAGTTCCTATGCTTCCTGGCTGATGTTTTGGTCACTTTTGAATGCTGGCGGTGCTTTCACTCCAGTGGTAGCATGAGACGGAGTCTACAACCCATACAAGTGGCTCAGGTAGTGCAGCTCATCCAGGATGGCACATCAATGCGAGCTGTGGCAAGAAGGTTTGCTGTGTCTGTCAGCGTAGTGTCCAGAGCATGGAGGCGCTACCAGGAGACAGGCCAGTACATCAGGAGACGTGGAGGAGGCCGTAGGAGGGCAACAACCCAGCAGCAGGACTGCTACCTCCGCCTTTGTGCAAGGAGGAGCAGGAGGAGCACTGCCAGAGCCCTGCAAAATGACCTCCAGCAGGCCACAAATGTGCACGTGTCTGCTCAAACTGTCAGAAACAGACTCCATGAAGGTGGTATGAGGGCCCGACGTCCACAGGTGGAGGTTGTGCTTACAGCCCAACACCGTGCAGGACGTTTGGCATTTGCCAGAGAACACCAAGATTGGCAAATTCGCCACTGGCGCCCTGTGCTCTTCACAGATGAAAGCAGGTTCACACTGAGCACGTGACAGACGCGACAGAATCTGGAGACGCCGTGGAGAACGTTCTGCTGCCTGCAACATCCTCCAACATGACCGGTTTGGCGGTGGGTCAGTCATGGTGTGAGGTGGCATTTATTTTGGGGGCCGCACAGCCCTCCATGTGCTCGCCAGAGGTAGCCTGACTGCCATTAGGTACCGAGATGAGATCCTCAGACCCCTTGTGAGACCATATGCTGGTGCGGTTGGCCCTGGGTTCCTCCTAATGCAAGACAATGCTAGACCTCATGTGGCTGGAGTGTGTCAGCAGTTCCTGCAAGAGGAAGGCATTGATGCTATGGACTGGCCCGCCCGTTCCCCAGACCTGAATCCAATTGAGCACATCTGGGACATCATGTCTCGCTCCATCCACCAACGCCACGTTGCACCACAGACTGTCCAGGAGTTGGCGGATGCTTTAGTCCAGGTCTGGGAGGAGATCCCTCAGGAGACCATCCGCCACCTCATCAGGAGCATGCCCAGGCGTTGTAGGGAGGTCATACAGGCACGTGGAAGCCACACACACTACTGAGCCTCATTTTGACTTGTTTAAGGATCAAAGTTGGATCAGCCTGTAGTGTGGTTTTCCACTTTAATTTTGAGGGTGACTCCAAATCCAGACCTCCATGGGTTGATACATTTGATTTCCATTGATAATTTTTGTGTGATTTTGTTGTCAGCACATTCAACTATGTAAAGAAAAAAGTATTTCAGATTATTTCATTCATTCAGATCTAGGATGTATTATTTTTTTGAGCAGTGTGTGTGTATATATATATATATATATATATATATATATATATATATATATACACACACATATACACATACACAGTCAAACTTTTGGACACACCTACTCAGTCAAGGGTTTTTCATTATTTTTACTATTATTTACATTGTAGAATAATAGTGAAGACATCAAAACTATGAAATAACACATTTGGAATCATGTAGTAACCAAAAAAAAAGTGTTAAACAAATCAAAATATATTTGAGATTCTTCAAATAGCCACCCTTTGCCTTGATGACAGCTTTGCGCACTCTTGGCATTCTCTCAACCAGCTTCATGAGGTAGTCACCTGGAATACATTTAAATTAACAGGTGTGCCTTGTTAAAAGTTAAATTCCACAAATCCTTTCCTTTTTAATGCATTTGAGCCAATCAGTTGTATTGTGACATGGTGGGGGGGGGGGGGGGGGGGGGGAAGAAGAAGCCCTATTTGGAAGATAGCCCTATTTGGTAAAAGACCAAGTCCATATTATGGCAAGAACAGCTCAAATAAGCAAAGAGAAATGACAGTAGATCATTACTTTAAGACATGAAGGTCAGTCAATATGGAACATTTCAAGAACTTTGAAAGTTTCTTCAAGTGCAGTCGCAGAAACCCTCAAGCGCTATGATGAAACTGGCTCTCATGAGGACCGCTACAGGAATGGAAGCCCCTGAGTTACCTCTGCTGCAGAGGATAAGTTAATTAGAGTTACCAGCCTCAGAAATTGCAGCCAAAATAAATGCTTCGCAGAGTTCAAGTAACAGACACATCTCAACATCATATTATAACATCAACTGTTCAGAGGAGACTGCGTGAATCAGGCCTTCATGGGCCAATTGCTGCAAAGAAACTACTACTAAAGAACACTAATAAGAAGAAGAGACTTGCTTGGGCCAAGATACACGAGCAATGGACATTAGATCGGTGTAAATCTGTCCTTTGGTCTGATGAGTCCAAATTTGAGATGTTTTATTCCAACCGCTGTGTCTTTGTAAGACGCAGAGTATGTGAACGGATAATCTCCGCATGTGTGGTTCCCACCATGAAGCAGGTGTGATGGTGCTTCGCTGGTGACACTGTCAGTGATTTATTTAGAATTCAAGGCACACTTAACCAGCATGGCTATCACAGCATTCTGCAGCGATACGCTATCCCATCTGGTTTGCACTTAGTGGGCCTATCACTAAGTGGACAATGACCCAAAACACACCTCCAGGCTGTGTAAGGGCTATTTGACCAAGAAGGAGAGTGATGCAGCAGATGACCTGGCCTCCACAATCACCACACCTCAACCCAATTGAGATGGTTTGGGATGAGTTGGACCGCAGAGTGAAGGAAAAGCAGCCAACAAGTGCTCAGCATATGTGGTAACTCCTTCAAGACAGTTGGGAAAGCATTCCAGGTGACTACCTCATGAAGCTGGTTGAGAGAATGCCAAGAGTGTGCAAAGCTGTCATCAAGGCAAAGGGTGGCTATTTGAAGAACCTCAAATATAAAATATATTTTGATTTGTTTAACACTTTTTTGGTTACTACATGATTCCATAAGTGTTATTTCATAGTTTTGATGTCTTCACTATTATTCTACAATGTAGAAAATAGTTTTTAAAAAGTATAAAGAAAAACCCTTGAATGAGTAGGTGTGTCCAAACTTTTGACTGGTACTGTGTATAAAACAATTCGGATATGGATTTTAAGGATTCCAATTACGTTTAAATGTTTTAACGTTCACACCCCTACTGGGAACTCTGAAATAAACAAGCTCAGACTGGGAAAAATCGGAATTACAAGTCGGAAACTCAGCATGATCCTTGAGGTCCGACTTCTCAGACCTGAAGATCACTGACGTTACGATTTTTCCCAGTCTGAGCTAGTTTTCTTCAGCGTTCGAAGATGTCTTGAACACACCAATAGGCCCTAGCTCAGCTCTCAGAAGATGATCAGGGAAATGGAAGGAATTAGGCTACAGCCTAGGTTAGGTTTCTTTTTAATATAAGAAATCAACTTAATGCGGTACATTTGCCCTCTCCGCTTTCTCACGTTTGAAAAATAAAAAACGGAACCCTTTCCTCGGCCCAGTCTTAATCCCTCCTTACAATCTTGACCCCCTCCATCCCGCTGCACTCTCTTCCTTCCATGCACAGTGCACTCATCCCCTTGAGGACTATGGTCATCACTCCCAGCTCACTGACCCAGATACAAGGAGCCAACTATGTCAGGATTTAAGCACACACACACCTTCAGAGACACTTTATAAAAGGCAGGATCCATACACACAGGCACGCCAAACAGATGAACACGCAACGATATTGGTTTTTAAAAAGCCATTAAATAAAATTGCTGCCAGCCAAATTGTCCAGGAGAAGAAAATAAAAATCCATTGCAAAATAATGCTTTTTATTAATTTCTGGAAATACCAGTTGATGTGCTCCAACTTCAAAGGCAAATATATTTCATAAGCTAATAAATCCTCAAGCTGCCTGGAAATTAGTGTCGGTGTGTGTGTTTCTATTTTGACTCATGCAAAAGACGCAAAGTCCTCATAAGGGACTTCAGCTAAGTGTACCCTGACTGGGCAAAATTGGCGAAGATGGTTTTGATTATCCCCGTTTCCAGTGTGCCCGCTGAGAGGGGATTCTTTCTCCAAAACAGAGTAAAGAAGGCCTCAAGATTGTGCCTTCTTGAGGACAAAATAACGAGGCTGATACGCATCGCAAGCGGCTCCAAGGAGTTTTGACTTCCCAACAGTAGCAGCTCACTTTGAAAAAGCCAAGGTCCGCCGCAAACGCAAGTAAATTAGAGGCTAATTATTGTGTTCGTCAGGCTTGGTCCTAGCAATTCTGATGCCGCCCTAGGCAATCTCAACATATGCCGCCCCTGTGTCATGTATACAATAAACATTTATTCACATCATCAAGTAGAACTGTAAAAAGTGTGCGATATCATCTGAGCTTCGGAAAAAAGTGCTTTCATGAATGCATGGCCTCGTCTCAAATGAACCAGCCTTAATACATTTTGTTTATTTATATATCGAATTTGATTGTCCAATATCAGTTTGATAATTTATTTATTTTATGGATGCCTAAAGTGACCTCTTTCCACTGCAGTGGTGCTGAATCGCAGCGGGAATGGGGTGTGGGGAGGCCTAATTAAAATGTTCATGCCTAGGCTAAATAAAAAATAGAGCGGCCTACGTTGTTTTTTGCAGACAGCTGTTATTTTATTATACAAATAGTTGTGTTTCATTACTGTGTAGGCAACTTGTTCTTCTAGGTTAAATGTTTCTTTTTTTAAATGATATTAATTTATAATTAATAACCCGAAGATAAAGGCGCAACTTTTCAATACAACCTGTCATGTTGGTAGAATATCATTCTCCTTTATTTTATTACAACTTTTAAGGCTAATTTCTATTCTGTTAAAATGAATTAAAATAATCTAAATGTGATTTTGAGCACCGTGAGTGGACGCCCTAATGCGTTATGCACCCAATGCATATTTGTATTTATTATGGATCCCCATTGCAGCAGCTACTCTTCCTGGGGTCCAGCAAAATTAAGGCAGTTATACATTTAAAAAAACATTACAATAAATTCATAACAGATTTCACAGCACACTAAGTGTGTGCCCTCAGGCCCCTACCACACATCTACAACACAAAATCCATGTGTACGTGTGTGTATAGAGTGTATGTTATCATGTGTGTGTATGCATGTGTCTGTGCCTATGTTTGTGTTGCTTTACAGTCCCCGCTATTCCATAAGGTGTATTTTTATCTGTTTTTTTAAATCTGATTCTACTGCTTGCATCAGTTACCTGATGTGGAATAGAGTTCCATGTAGCCATAGCTCTATGTAGTACTGTGCGCCTCCCATAGTCTGTTCTGGACTTGTGGACTGTGAAGATGGGTGTCTGAGCTGTGTGCCAGTCGTTCAAACAGACAGCTCGGTGCTTTCAACATCTCAACACCTCTCACAAACAGGCAGTTAAGAAGTCAATCTCTCCTCCACTTTGAGCCAGGAGAGATTGACATGCATATTAATGTTTGCTCTCTGTGTACATCCAAGGGCCAGCCGTGCTGCCCTGTTTTGAGCCAATTGCAATTTTCCTAAGTCCCTCTTTGTGGCACCTGACCACACGACTGAACAGTAGTCCAGGTGCGATAAAACTAGACCCTGTTGGACCTGCCTTGTTGATATTGTTGTTAAGGTAGAGCAGCGCTTTATTATGGACAGACTTCTCCCCATCTTAGCTACTGTTGTATCAATATGTTTTGACCATGACAGTTTACAATCCAGGGTTACTCCAAGCAGTTTAGTCACCTCAACTTGCTCAATCTCCACATTATTTATTACAAGATTTAATTGAGGTTTGGAGTTTAGTGAATGATTTGTTTCAAATACAATGCTTTTAGTTTTATAAATATTTAGGACAATGCCACAGTGCACAAAGTGAGGTCCATACAGAAATGTATGAAAAATGTAAAAGTATGAAAAATGTATGCACTCACTAACTGTAAGTCGCTCTGGATAAGAGCGTCTGCTAAATGACTAAAATGTAAATGGTTTGTCGAGATCGGTGCATTAGAACTGGCCTGCACAGAGCCCTTACCTCAACCCCACAAACACCTTTTGGATGAATTGGAAAGCCGACTGCGAGCCAAGCCTAATCGCCTAACATCAGTACCCGACCTCACTAATGCTCGTGACTGAATGGAAGCAAGTCCCCGCAGCAATGTTCCAACATCTAGTGGAAAGCCTTCCCATAAGAGTCGAGGCTGTTACAGCAGCAAAGTGGGGACCAACTCCATATTAATGCCCATGATTTTGGAATGAGATGTTCGACGAGCGGGTGTCCACATACTTTTGGTCATGTAGTTTATATTAAACCAGAGAAAAAAACTGAAATTTTATTTGGGACTTAATGAGTGGCTTTAAAGGGCGAATTGGCTCTGGAAGACAAAACAGCCAAATACTCCATCTAAACGTGAATCGATTCTTAATTGTGGTACGGTTCTAGGAACATAAATCCCTCTACTTTCATATGACAAAATAATTTCACAAATGCAAAATACACACTTACGGTACATTGTTTTAACACAGTTGCAGCCAACAGTATCTTTCAATGACAACACGTTTGTTGCCTCTGTCTTCCGTTTACACACAGGTGTTCGGAGACGCAGATAGCTAATTAGCACAAGTAGTCCACTGTCTTCCGTAAACAAGAGCCGTAGCATGGAAATATGGCTGTGTGGTAGGGGTGGGTGATATGAACAAAAATTCATATCACAATATTTTCCACTGTCCAGACGATAATGATATAATATCACGATATACTGTAAAAAAAAATTAATAGGTTTTAACATTTTATGAGCCCTTCAAAGTTAATAAATTACTAAATATTGCTTTTAACCTTTTAGAAACAGAAAGGGGGCATTGCACGTTTTTTTATTAGCATTTGTTTTATTTCTGTGGTAAACCTGTGCAAACATGAAACAAAGGTATGTGAGTTAAATAAATATGCAGTAACATTTTATAAAAAAATATCTAAAGTACTCAGGATGTAAACTTTTTCCTGCCAAATATAAGAAGTGCAGTCTTTTTTCATATAACACCGGTCATTATGAATTCAAGTTGTAAACCTTTTCAAATTAACTTCAAGCATTAACCAGACAGTCTGTATGTTTCTCAGTTAAGCATGTAACAATTCACTGCCTCCCTCTTCACAAGTTCCGTGCCAGGAACACCAGCCTATTGACAGTTTCTGGCTTCAGTTGCCCTGTGGCATGTGACCACATTGCCCCCAGTGCTAAATGCTCTCTCAGAGGGCGAACTTGTGGCAGGGATGCATAAGTATTTATTTGTCAGACAACTCAATTGTGGGAAGTTGGATGCGTGAACTCGCCACCACTCCAAAGGATCAGCCTCACTGTCTGCTGCCATCATCAGAGTGTAGCTGTCCAGCTCTTGCTCAATGACCTGTCTCTGGGTTCTTAAGGCAGGTGCACTACTGGTTTTCTTAAAGAAGCTCCCAAGATTCTTCTTGGACTTCTTTGCTGATTGTGGAGCAGTGGCAACTTCTTTATCTCTCTCACTCTGGTCCTCTTCAAAAGAGAAGTCTCCCACGGCTGTGTTTCCTACCAGGAGGGCTTCTGTCTTGGAGGCAGCTCTCGCCTTCACCTCCACCAGCTTCTCATTGGTCATGTAGGTGGTCTTGAACCTTGGGTCCGGAAAGGTAGCCATGGTGAGCAGCTCATCTGTTTCAGGGTCGGTGTATTTGTCATTCAGGTAATTGAGGACCCTCATCTTAATCTCTCCGGTCAGTTTGGCTTCGCCCTCATTTGATTTCAGAACCTCCGTCTTGAACAAATGTAGGACCGACTTCAGATAGGACACACTCACGTATGTCTCTCCTGACAGGGCATCTGTGAAATCCTGGAGGGGCTTAAGTGCTGCCGTGATAGATTCAAAGACCTCAATGTCTTGCCAGGAGGGTGCAAGGTGCTGTGTTTTTTGCCTGCTGCCAGGACTTGTGTGATGGCCTTTTCCTGCTCCAGGACTCTTTCCATCATCTGCAGTCGAGATCCCCACCTTGTCAGGGATTCCGTGATGAGCTCGTGGAGGGGCAGGCTCAGTTTATCCTGTGCACTCGTCAGGGCCTTCTGCTTCTTCCAACTATAGGAACATGTGCTGACCACTTTCTTGCACACTCCTGTGGCCCGGGAAACCCGAGGTTCGTTTTGGACACTCCTCTCTGCAAAATAAAAAAGGTGAAAAATAATTACATATGAATCACAATTATTCAATAGAAATAACATCGCATCTGCTGTAATTACAATAATTAACAGCATGGACACGGGACATGATTACAAATGTAATCCATCTATAGATTTACAAACAACTTGTGAATAAGAGAGCTATGTTGCTTTAGAAATCGGGATCATTTATTGAGTAGGCTATTTATTATTGAAAGCGAGAGGATAGATTCATATATTTAAACAATTGGCTAATGTATCAATTATAAATAAAAGCAATGTAATCCATGTAATGTTTGGATATTGCACACATTTACAAATTACAAATATTCTAGATTTGCATAGCTGTACATATATCCGGCTTAATGTCTAAGAAGGATCAGGCAGTGTAGTCAGCTCTAACTTTAAACAGAGGAGATA